CCCCCAACTCCTGTTTTATCCCGCACCACGCGCCCGGGGACGGAACCCGCCACACGAACCCGTCCGGTGTCGTCTCCCATCCCCGGGCGTCGAGGGGGGGAGGGGGGGGGGGCGCCGGGCGCGCCCTGTTTGTGCGGGGTCCCGGTGTCCCCCCGTGCTGGGGCGGCTGGTCTGCGGCACGGTTTCAGGTCCGCATGGTTGGCGACGCAGACCGCCTGCGGGGCCATTGGTTCCCCCCCCCCCTCTCTCTCTCTCTCTCTCTCTCTCTCTCCTTTGAGCACTCTCACCCTTTTTTTCGACGTGCGCCCGCTCGTTGCCGCACTCCAGCTCGCTGCTCCCCGCCTCTGCCGCACCTGACGCCCCCGTCGCCCGACACGCATAAAGCCATTTTTGTGGGGCCCCCTCACCACCCGAGGCCCGTCCAATCTTTGGTATCCCCCCCCCCCCTCCCCGCCCCCTCCACCCTCCCCCCACTTGCGCACCCTTGACCCGGGACTAATCATGGCCCGGAAGAGGGCGGCATGGGTCGGCGCGCGGCGAGCACTGCTCCTGCTGCTCGTCTCGCTCGGCCTCCTCCTGCACCCGGTGCCCTCCCTGCCCGCGGCCCTTGTCGATCGCTCCCAGCCCCTGGCCGCCGGGGCCTGGCCTCTGAGCGATGGGCTTGACCTCCATGTGGAGGCCCTGTCCATTGATGGCCCGGCCGTGGGATGGGCCCTCGACATGACACACAAGCAGGTTTCCTTCTATGGCGAAGTTGCCGATGTCAATGCCGCCGATGAGCCGCGGCTGGGGGTCCATTTCAGCTCCTCCGGCTTGATGGCCTCCTTCGCCTGGACTGGTCCCGCCCCTGACCGGTGGCTGGCAGTGCCCACCCCCAGCGCGGTTCCCCTGCTGTTGGCCATCTTTCCCGATGGCATCCAGGTGGTGGGGCCTGGCCAGTTTTCTCCCTACTCCCCGGGAGCGGGGTTCTCCACGCTTGCCGCCCTCCTCCATGGCACCGAGCTCCGGGTTGTGGTCGCCGCTCCGGATGGCACCCTGTCGCTGGTGACCCTGGGCCCTGGCAGCCCGAGCGCCGTGGAGCTGGGCCCACGGGACGGACTCCTGGCGCCGCGCGCGGTTGCCGCCCCCGGTGGCAACTTCTTCCTCTTCACCGGTTCCACTCAGGTGCGCTTTTTGGACGCCACCGCCATGACGCAAAGTGCGGTCATCGATATTCAGGCCGCGGCGGCCGGCGTCCTGGCCATGGCGCATGTGCGGCTGACGGTCCGAAGCCCGACGGGCAGCAGCAATGAGGCCCTGGCGGTGCTCCTCGACAATGGCATCCTATGTGTGTGCATCGGCTGGCAGGGGGCCCTCTGCACGGGCGGCCACGTGCAGGAGGAGCTTCCCTTCACCCTGACCCCGGGGAGCGATGTGCGCTTCCTCAACCCGCCGGGGCTGGTGTCGGACCTGGCTCCGGAGCATCTTTTCCTGTTCGACGGCACGGACAGCCTGTGGGCCATCGAGGTGCTGCCCTCGGCGCAGGGCCCCGACAACTCGAGGCTCGACATCACGCCGCTGCTGGTCCCCGGTGCGGCCGGCGACCTGGCCAGCTTGAGGATGGTCCCCCTGAACTGGGGTCCGCCGCAGCACCTGTCCCTGAAAATGGTCACCGCCAGGCGCCTGCTCCTCAACCAGGAGGACTTCAAGTGCGGCACCGATCCCTCGATTGCCTGCAGCTCCCGCGGCGATGCCGAGCTCCAGCATGGGCTTGGCTGGGCGTGTGCCTCGGGCCGGGTGCTGGCCCCGAACCACCCCTCGGGGGCCCTGTGCGCCGGCTGCTCCGATGGCCTCACCACTGAGCTGACTTCCACGACGACCGGTGCGTCCCGGGCCGGCGGTCCTTTGCCCCGTCTTTCGCCCGCCTCCCCCCTCCCGCCCTGTGACTCCTGCCCTGGCGGCTTCTCTTGTCGGTGTGCTTGGCCCCGGTCCCGCCCCGGCCCCGGTCCAGGTCCTGCTCACGATGGCCCGCCGCCCAGACTGACGCCTTCCCGCTGCCGGGTTTCCCTGCTCCCCCCCCCCTCCCCTCTCCCCCGCCACCTGGCCAAGCAGTGTCCTGTGTGGCTTGCGGCATGCCCGACTGCCGGGTGTGCAGCTTGTCCGGCTGCCTTGTCTGTGCACCGGGGTTCCTCCTGGCACATGGCACTTGCGTGAGCCAGTGCCCCCCTCCGTCGACTCGCGCCGGGGATCGCTGCCTGGGGCCGGGCCCCGAGCAGCCGCTGGCCCTGGCAGCCACCCGGAGCCCGGTGACCGTGGATGGCATGCCCCTGCAGCAGGCAATTGGCCCCATCGCGCGGACACACATGCGCCCGGGCCCCGACGGCCAGGTGGTCATCACGGCCGGCTCGCTGGCCTTGCGCCAGTGGCTGCTGCTGGTGCCTTCGGCGGGCGCCACGCCCGCCAGGCTGGCCACCCTGCAGCCGACCGGCGAGCTGCTGGTCGACCAGTCGCCCGGGCTGGCCCTGCCGGTGGCCCAGCTCCACAGCTACCTGGAGCTCGGGCCGATGGTGGCCGATGGCGTGACCTGGCTCTTTGGGGTGGGCTGCTCCCAGGCCGGCGTCCTGACCATCACGCGCTTCGAGTGCCGGCTCCCCTCGTCGTCCGACTCGCAGGCCGCCAGCCAGTCGACCAGCCACGAGGGCGAGCCGCATTGCGTCGTGTCCATCGGGCCGCCGGAGCCGCTTCTCTCGGGCGGGAGCAGCGTTTGCCGGGTGCTGGCGCCCCTCGGCGACCGGGGCCAAATGGCCAGCATCCAGATGCACGATTCACAGGACCGGATTTCCATCTACACCATCACGCTCAATCCCCTTGTGCCGGCCGGCTACCGGGTGTCGATGCTTTTGCATGGGACCTCGCCGCCGGCCATCTTCCCGCTGCCTGCTTCGTGGTCGTCGCCCGGCGACCCGTGGCTGCTGGAAGCCGGCGGCACCGGCACCGCCCTCAATCCCCTGCGGCTGCGCCACAGTGTTGACCCGCGCGCCATGCTCCCGTGGGAGCACTCGGCCCCCGGCCCGGGCCTGGACCCGGCCCAGTTCGCCACGCACCGTCGGCCGGTTGTCCTCCCGACGCCGGGCCGCGGTCCGGATCATCCCAATGAGGTGCTCCTGTCCGGGGTCTACCCGGGCCCGGGGCATTTGGTGTGGGACGCGCAGCACATCCCCCTCGGGTCGCATGCCCATGCGCGGACGCGAGACCTGCCCACGTATGTCACCCTGCTGGGGGCCATCCCCGGGGCCGGTGTGCCCGGTCCGGGGCCGGAGTATGCCCTCCTGGGGGTGGAGCTGCCCGAGCAGGCGGACCACCCGGCGGCCCTGGTCCTGGTGACGTCCAGCCACCTGGCCATCGCCCGGCTGCATTGCCCGGCGGATTTGGCCCCCGAGTGCTTCCTGCTCCGGGCCACCGTGCAGGCCTTGGGCCCGGGCGTCGGGCCGCTGGCCGGCCCGCAGCATGCGGTGGCCGTGGCGCTGCCGGCCCCGGGGCCCGGTGCCGGGGCCCTGTCCCCGGGGGCCCGGGCCGGCGATGGTCCTGCCGACCCCCCGGCCGTGGGGTTCCTGCTGGCCGGGGTGGGCCTGGATGGGCCGCTGCTGGTGACCCTGGGCGCGGTCGAGTGCTCGCCCGGGGAGTATGGCCCGGCCTGCGAGCCATGCGATGCGGCCTGCGCCGAATGCACCGGCCCGGGCCCGGACGCCTGTGTCGCCTGCTTCCTGTCGCTGCCGGACGATCCGGGCGCCTGCGTGGCCGAGTGTCCGACCGGCACGGTGCCGGGCCCCGGCGGCGGGGTGTGCGTCTGCGCGGCGGCCGGCTGCTCCGGCTGCCAGGGCACCGGCCCGGCCGGCGCGTACGAGTGCTCGGCCTGCGCCGTGGGCTTCGCGCCGGATCCCCTGCCGGGGGTGGCCTGCTCGCCCTGCCACCATGCGTGCGACGGCTGCTCGAAGCCCGACAGCCCGTTCTTTTGCCACGCCTGCGCCGGGGCCTTCTTCCTGGTCCCCGACGGGGGCGGCTGCCAGGCCGACTGTCCGGATGGCACGTGGAAGAACCCCGCCAACCATCGGTGCAGCAGGTGCATCGACAACTGCCAAAGGTGCACCTCGGCCGATGTGTGCGAGGCATGCTACCCGCGGGCCATCCTGGCCCCGGACCAGCGCGCCTGCCGCGCCTGCCATCCCTCCTGCCTGACCTGCACGCCGGACGGCAGCTGCGACACCTGCCAGCCGGGGCTGGTGTTCTTGGAGCCGGATGGGCCGGGCGGCTCCCTGTGCGGGAATGTCTGCCCGCCGGGCGAGCATGTCGGCACCGACCGGTGCATGGCCTGCCACGGGGCGTGTGCCCTGTGTTCCGGGCCCGGCAGCACCCAGTGCCAGGTGTGCGCCGCCGGGTACCGGTGGGCCGGGCTCGCCCCGCGCCCCGGGGCCGCCGGCGAGTGTGTCGCCTGCCCGCCGGGCTGCGCCTCGTGCGACATGTCGGACCGGTGCCTTTCCTGCCTGGCGGGCTACTTCCTGGCGCCGGGGGCCACCTGTGGGCAGGCCTGCCCGGCCGGGCACTTCGCCGACCTGGCCGACGGGTCGTGCCAGGCGTGCGACATCTCCTGTGCCACCTGCACCGGGCCGGATGCCGACCAGTGTGACAGCTGCCCGCCGGGGCTGGGCCTGGCCCCGGTGGTGGCCGGTCTGGCCGGGGCCTGTGTGTCCGGCTGCCCGGCCGGGCACTACCGGGACCCGGTGTCCGGGGGGTGTGCCCCCTGCGACGCGGCCTGCGCCGCTTGCAATGGCCCCAGCGACCAGGACTGCTGGAGCTGCCCCCCGGGGCTGGCCGATGTCCTGCAGGATGGTGCATGCGTGCTGGCCTGCGCCGGGGGCCATGTGGCCGTGGCGCGCCGGTGCCTGCCCTGCCACGGGACCTGCCGCGAGTGCACCGGCACCCGGAGCACCGACTGCACCGACTGCCCGAGTCACCTGCTGGCCCTGCCGATGGGGGCCCCCTCGGCCGGGCGCTGTGTGGCCGGCTGCCCGGTGGGCTACCACTGGCAGCCGGGCGGGTGTGCCCGGTGTGCCGACCAGTGCAGCAGCTGCCCGGCCAGCCCGACCGCCTGCACCCTCTGCGACCGGGGCTGGCTGCTGCAGGGGCCCGGCTGTGTCAGCCAGTGCTCGCGCGGGTTGCTGCCGCTGAATGGCCAGTGCACCGTTTGCCATGGCACCTGCGGCACCTGCTTCGGCCCGGCGGCCGACCAGTGTGCCAGCTGCCCCGAGGGGTCGGGGCTCCGGCTGCACGGGGGGGCCTGCGTCGCGGCCTGCCCGGCCGGGACCTTCACCGAGGCGGCCACCTGCCTGCCATGCGATGGGACATGTGCCGAGTGCGCCGGGCCCGGGGCCCAGGGCTGCACGGCCTGCCCGCCGGGCCGGGTCCTGGCCACCTGGGGCGCCTGTCTGGAGGCCTGCCCGGCCGGGGAGTATGCCACCGGGGGCGGCCTGCCCGGCCCCGGCGCCGGCACCTGCCGTGCCTGTGATGGCAGCTGCGCCCGGTGCACCGGGCCCGGGTGGCAAGAGTGCACCGCCTGCCGGGGGGGCGACTTCCTGCACGCCGGGGCCTGCTTGGCGGCGTGCCCCGGGGGGCTGTTCGGCTGCCCGGGCACCGGCGGGTGCTCCGCCTGCCCGGAGCACTGCGCCGCCTGCCGGCCGGCAAGCGGCCCCCCCGGCGGCCCGCCCTGCCAGGCCGAATGCACTGCCTGCGCCCCGGGGTTCCACCTGTCGCCGGGGGCGTCGTCCTGCGTGGAGGCATGCCCGCCGGGGGAGTTCCTCCCGGCCGGCGGCCAGGCCTGCCAGACCTGCGACCCGGCATGCGCCTCCTGCGTCGAGAGGGCGGACAATTGCACGGCCTGCGCCCGGCCCGGGGCCTGGCTGGACCTCGGCTCGGGCATGTGCTCTGGGGCCTGTGCCGGCGGCGGCGTTGCCCCGGTGGATTTCGGCCCGGCCGCCCTGCCGCAGCGCGTGTGCCTGCCCTGCCCGTTGAATTGCGAAGCCTGCCCGGTAGGTGGCCCTGCCGGCGGCGGCGGCGGCGGCGGCGGCTTGCCGCCCTGTGAGCTGGCCGCCTCCGGGCGGCTGGTCTGCCCGCCGATCACCGGCTGCGCCCGCTGCCAGGCCGGCATGCGCCTGATGCCGGAAGGCCCCGCCTCCCCGGCCCAGTGTCTGTCCGTCTGCCCGGCCAGGTACTTCCCGGCTGCCGCCGCGTCGGGCGAGGTGTGCACCCCCTGCCATGCCTCGTGCGAGCGGTGTGCCGGCCCGACGGCCGACGACTGCATCGGCTCCCCGGGCCGCAGCCCGCGGCGTGACCTCGGTGCGTGGCCCCGGCTCCTCCCCCCCCCCCCCCCCCCCCCTCCCTCGGCCTTTGGCCAGCCATGCGCCCACCTCCATACTGACCTGCTTTGGATCCCTGCTCGGGCGGTTGCCGGGGCAGCCCTTGGCCTGGGCCTTGGCCTGGGCCTGGGGCTCCTGCTGCTGGGGCTCCTAATCCTGTGGGCCTTGCTGCTGGTGCACCGGCGCCGGCGCAAGTGCCGGTGCTTCATCACCCGGAGCAGCACCTGTGCGGCCCACGGCTCGAGCGCTGGCATGGAAGATGGTGCGCCGCGCGCCTGTTCGGCCCTTTGCGACACGCCGCTTGCTGACGCCCGCACCGTCGGGTCCGCGCTGATTTTTGTCCCCCCCCCC